TAAAAATTTGAAAAAAAATTGCATAATAATGGAATTGTAATGAATTTTTAGGATTACGAAAAATTCCTTTATATACACTGTAACAATCATGTACAAGCTCATTTGAATAGAATAAGAACTAAGTTTTTTTATCAGTTCTTAGCTCGAAAGCACTCCGAACTGACGACAAAATTGACATCATAAGAATGGAGCCAATAGAACGGAACATAATTATAATAATAATGTATTTATTATCACGCTTAATTGCCCACTTTGTTAGTATTACAGATTTCTTATAATTAATGTTAGTACGTACAGACTAAATACACACAAAAATGTAAAATACAAATAATATCAAAAATTAATATTAAATTAAGTTAAAATATAAATTAAAATGAATAATTATTTACGGCATAATTTCAATTAAAAGTATTGCTATCGCGATTGGGAGAGGGGAGACATAAGGTCTCTGAATAGAGATTAAATAAATTCTAAAGAATAACTACATCGCAATTTTATTGCATGGACACACTTTATATAACAACTATGGATTCAAGAAGGTGGAGCTGATATAGTAGTTACATTCCTAGCAATGAATCGGCTAATACACCTTACTAATAAATTTCTCCTTCATCTTACAGGAGTTATTGAGATACAGTTATGTTATAAAAATATTCGTAAATTAAATATAATTGGTAATACTACTTATAGATTTGATTTAACGGTCTTGGTGATCTAGCTGTTTAGCACACCGCTTTATTTCCAATCGTCGCGGGTGCGATTCCTCGCACGGTGCAAACGTATCATGAGTATGATTGTATGTATGTACAAATTAAAATATCTAAGTATTTATATCAATTGCCTAGTACCCATAACACAATCTCTGCTTACCGTGGGACTAGACGGTGATTGTGTTAATTGTCCAGGATTTATTTATTTATTATAAATAGGTATATTGTCAAGAGACAAGGTACAAAGTATTTAGATATAAATCTACATACTATTTGTATGTATGTATGTATACATAAGGACGACTGTTGGAATATTTATGGAATGAAATGTTTCCATTAAATCTTTACTGATTTTAAAAAAATTTGCGTTCGTAATCGATTACCCAATAAATTGGTATGTTTACAATGTTTTATATGTATGAGTAATTTGAGAGATGCAGTTACACGCTAAGTTTAAATATGCTATTGTCCATGATGAGGCTTACTGAACTAACTTCATGCTCATCTTATCCTCCAATGGTGCCCCGCCAGCGTAAACCGTTAGCGCAGCCGAATGCAACATTCCATTATCATCCACATGAAAAAAAATGCAATTGTTGTTACGAAGTGGTCTGTAATTGGTCACAAAACTATACCTAAATATTATGATTTAGCATTTAAATAGCAGATTAATCCTCTCATTTCATTGAAATAATAACTCAGACAATTCGCACAGCGCCATCTAGTGCCACACTAAACAGGATTTTTAATAATGTGCATTACACAACTGATATAAATAAGTAAAGGCACATATTTTTCAATACAAATAAACACATAGAAAATTAAAAGAAAAAACAGACTAATGTATACAAATGTTTGTATCTTACTAGAATCGAACCTTCTATTTATACCAATATAGACTTTCAATAACTTACAAAATAGTATGATTACTTCTGTCTCAACTATTTCAGCCATTATGCAGCTTGCTTTGATAGATTTCTTTCGCTGGTAGGGTGAGCTAAGGCAGTGAAAATACAAGGTACGGAGACATGGTGTCTTTTTCTTCTCCGAAATTTACTGAGACTCATGATGTGATAAATGTCTAGTGAAATGGCCTCTGACTCATACTCTTCCTATCATCCTCCACTGGTGTCCCGCCAGCTTAAACCGTTAGCGCAAGCGGCGCACTATCACAAAATACACAAGTTCTGCTTAGCTTGATACTAGATGACGCTGTGTGAATTGTCAAAAGTTTTTATAATTGTATAATAATAAAAAGTACTTAGGGGCCGTTCAAGTATTACGTAAGCAGATTTATTACAATAAAATACCCCCCATCCCCCCCCCCCCATCCCCCATCACCCTTGTCAGCAAAAGTAAAGAAAGCTCTTACCCCCTCCCCCTATGCTTACGTAAACATTTTTAATTAATGTATTGTTTTTTTAGCAAAGACAATGTGAGGGTTGTCTTTCGTGTAAAAAAGTAAAGAACTACCTATGACGTAGTCATCAAGCAAAACAAAGATCCCCCCCTCCCCATAATGCTTACGTAGATAATACTTGAAAGGCTCCTTATTACACTAAAATGGACGCATTAATAGTACCATGGACATCACATGATGACGTGTGTCTATATAGTGCCATTCATGTATATACGCGATGGTACCCACATTCCATCGTGTAGACCGTCAGCCTGTCAACTAGTCCAGTTATATAACAAGAACTACCTCAACTAGACAGCAACGAAGCTATTTATTAAGTTCAATACAATACTTTTTGGGCGATAGAGTGAATGAATTATATGTGTCAGAAGAATCAAACGACGGATAAAAAATGGTAAATAATTGTAATGTAGGTTATATAGATATAATGTTTGAATGGTAAGAATAAAAAAATGACAACAAAAATCTTACGATTCTAAAACCTGTAATGAAGAGACATTCAAAATAGGCACAAAAATTAATATAGGTATAAAAAGGCGCAAAGAATTTGCAACTTTATTTGTAAAAACATGATTACAAATTAATTCTTATAATAATATACCTATTTGAAACACCATATTTTATATATGAAGTATTTCCCTATTTTTTTTATAATTGCACATGCATATACAATAAAATTACATATAATAATTTATCAATACACACATGGACTCTGTTTAAACATTGTAGCAACTTCGTTGACGACTCATTCCATATTTTACGAGTACAATAGTTAATAGCGTCCAAACGTCTGTCAAGCTGTTTTTGTAAGTAACCATGCAAAATTTTGTTATAAATATATAACAAAAATAATTAAAACAAATTAGAAATGTAAATGTAGGTAGGAAGGTAGAATGGTTTTTTTTATACCAGTATTAAAGTTTATCTATACATCTAAAATAAAAATTGGAGTGTCTGTTTGTAATATTGAAATAACCGTTTTTTTACTACACGCATACGAATATAAATACTCTAATTACATAGAGAAATATAAGTATAGGGCGAAAGTAAAAGACAAGTGAATATAGAGAAATAGAAGGTCTGAGGTTGATGACAAAATTTTAAGGTACATATACCATAAAAACATTTTTTACAATTTTTATCTGTCTACCTGTTTATTCTGGCTAATCACTGAAATGGCTGGACCGATTATGACGGGTCTCTTTTTACCAGGTAGCTGATGTAATAAGAGTAACTTAGGCTACTTTTATTTAAGAAAAATTAAGTTAAATTCTACGCAGGTCACTGGAACAGCTAGTCATCAATATAATCAGTGATGGAGTAATGAATACCTGTAGTAATAAAAAAAATTTTTTTTTTAAATAAAAAAAAAACAGGTTATGAATCAAACAATTTTACGGCAGGAAATGGTTGTTAGGGTAGAAAATCGACTGTTACGACCTTCAATTTAGAATTATGGAATGGCCTCCATAAACTTCAAATTATGTTTTTATGCTGCTGTAGTTGTAAATACCGTAAACTGTGGGAAGAGAGGATTGTTAAAAATAAGAACATTTAGACTCATTACTATTGAGCGGCTCAGTAATTTAGCGGTTTACCGGGGCGCTTTTATTCTGATGGCCGCAGGTTCGATTCCTCGCATTTATATTGATCTGACTGTTATCTATGTGTGTTATAAGCGTATTAAAAAAATGTGTCTAAGTATATCTATCAGTGGTCTATGGTAGTACCCATAATACAAGCTCTGCTTACCGTGGGACTAGACGATGACTGTGTTAATTGTCCAGGATTTATTTATTGATTATAGATATATTGTCAATGAGACAAGGTACAAAGTTATTTACTAAATTTAAAAAAGATTCCCCTTAAAATCTAGTTAATAAACTTTTTATACAAATCGACTCGTGTATCTTGGCCTACATCACACATGACATTTATCATTAATTACTGTTACTGTTACTATTACTGTAAAGTTTCATCAAAATCTGTTTAGTCGTTTTTTCCGCGATAGGGTAACAAACATCCATCAATAGTCACAAACTTTCGCTTTATAATATTAGTAAGATACTAATTATATTGCCTATATAGGTACACGAATATCAGCACGGTCATCATGTTTTTTAGTATGGATTGTCATTCCAAAGAAAGGTGTCTTACCTCCGTATTGTAATTTTACTGCCATATTGTGTTTCGTTTAAAGGGGGAGACCCTTTAAACGAAACACAAATAACAAGCAGCTTGGCAGAAATAGGTCAACTAGCTGACTACCTCGAGAGACTTTGTACAAAGCATGTCAGCTATTTTATTTACTTATTTTAACGAGGTAGAACAACTTAAACCTAGAAAAAAAAACCTAGACACTATGCTTATAGTAGGCTATATTTGTCTAAACAGTGATAATAGAATAGAATTTAAAATCTATTATTCAAATAAACTTAATTTAAGCACTTTTGAATACCCATCCCATTTTTTTTAAACTACCGCTCAATCGGAAAGCTGTCTCATCACAAGAAGAATGAGCAAGAAACTTGCTTGTTGCTCTTTTAAATAAGTCGAAACGTTTGATTACAAACTACCAACTAGCACAAATTTATTTGGGTTAAATATTAAATACACATTAAGATTGAATCAGTTGTAGTAATCAGACCAATCCCTACAAGCAGCACTCCTTCACGATTATGACCTATGAGCCAGCCATTACTGCGGTCGTCCATATTTTAGGGTAATAATAGGTTGTTATGACGAACTTTTAATAACAATACTACTTTACTATTCTGAACGGTACGATCTGTTTTGATCCGATTACACATGTCCATAGAATTACTGTTATGTCTGAATATATTCTCAAATACCCATTTCTATTGTTACAGTACGGATGAAGACGCGCGTCAAGCGATGATGTTAGATGGCGGCAAAATAAAGGAGATACAAGTGAAACTATTGCTCAGTTCTCGTTCAGAGATGCACAAAGTCATAGAAGCGGCGAGACAGAGTGTACCGATCCTGAGTTTGACCACACCAGCACCTCCTGTAGCCCCCGTCGCACCTCCGGTGACGCTTCCACAGCAGTTGGTACCTTCTATACCACCCACCATAACACCTTTCTCAACTGCATTAGGTAACAATCCATTAGCAAACTTTGGCATTCCTGGCATTGGAAATCCTCAAGAGATCCCGCAACCGGCCGTCATAGAACCTCCCGCACCTCTCGTCAGCCCAACTACAAATCTTTCAGCAGAAGAAGAAGACAAGGAACCTGAGAGAAAAAGAAGTAGAGAGAAAGAAAGGCGTCGATCCAAGTCTCGTTCTAGATCACGAGACCGGAAAGATAGAAAGAGAGATCGACGGGATAGATCACGTTCCAGAGAGAGACGGCGACGTGACCGCAGCCGGAGTAGAGATAGACGTGACCGTAAACGTGATAGGAAAGACCGCAGTCGATCCCGCGATCGTTCACCATCAAGAAGGTCTCGTGATCGGCGCAATGATCGCAGATCGCCTCAGAGCTCTCAGGAGAAAAATATCGAAGTTCAAAATATCGACAATGTTATGCCACCGGGACCACCATCCATTGCCAATAACAACACTAATTTTCCACCACAACAAATGTTGCATGGTGCACTGATGCCAAACGGTGCTATAAGCGCAGGAGATGGACAAGCAAATCTTTTTAACGATCCTTCAATGGCAGACGCATTTAACAAACTTCAAGAGCTTGGCAAAAAACGTAATCCCAATGCTTTTCAAGGTGATCAACAAAATGGTACTGGAAGATTCCCAGGCGGTAGGGCCGCTAATGCACAGCGCGGTGGGAGTAGTTACCGTCGCGAAGGTCGGCCTTCGCGTTTTGATAATGATCAACAGAGAGACTGCTGTGTTGCTATCAGAAATGCACCGAATCATACCAGTTACGGTGACGTAAGACGCTTTTTCCCATTTATGATTGACAAACATGGTATTAAAATGATAAACGATACCATGGGACGAAGGACAGGAAATATCTACGTACGATTCTGCGATCCCCGGTCCAAACATTTAGCTTTACAACGGAAGAATAACGAGCTGAAAGGTTCGCCGGTTAACGTGGAAACTTTAGATGACGATGAATACGAAACGGCTGTGGACTCATTTCTTCCATACAGGGAGGAAAATGATGACGAAGATCCAGCCCTTATTATCGCTGATAATGATGATTCCCAACCACCTTACACTGTTCTGAAATTATCAGATCTACCCAACTTTGTGAAGGAACATGACGTCATCAAAGCGTTCAGTGATTTTTCACTTCTATCCATTGCTTTAAATGACTGTCGTGTGACTCGGTCTAAAATTGCATATGTACAGTTTGTAAAGCCAGAAGATGCAAAGGCAGCTTTTGAAAGAAAAGAAAGACATACTATATTCGGAAGACGCCCACCCACAATCGTTACAATGACCAGTGAAGATTATGAAAAAGAAAGGATTTCACAAAATGATAAACCACAGGATCCAGTGCTGCCGATAGTCCAGGAGCAGCAACCAGAACCGGTTGTACCACGTGATCCTCGACAACGACGTCAGTTCGAAGATAAAGGGCGTAAGGTAAATCCACAAGCACAGCCCGCTGTTGCAGGGGCGCCCTTTTTCAATGCCCCTTTTATTCCACAGCAAGGTTTCGGTGGACCGTTTCCCGGTGCACACCAATTTACTGGGTTTCCCGCTCCTACAGGTATAGATGCTCATGCTGCAGCAGCCAACTGGGCCGCTCGCCCCACATTCGCTAATCAAATGAATCCAATGGCCGGGCCACCACAAGTTCCTAAAACAAACGCAATAACTTCCGATTTAAACGACGAGCCCTTAGACTGTGTACTGATGAAGGGCTTACCACGAGCATCAACAGATAGAACAATAGTGACATTCCTCTCCGACACTAGTGCCGTACCAGCTCGTATACACCTTATGCTGGACTCTAGCGGCTCACCTTCCGGTGACTGTTTTTGTGAATTCAGATCTCCACAAGAAGCTAGAATGGCTGTTAAAAAGCACGGCCAAAACTTAGAGGGGTGTCGAGTTACTGTCGATCTCGTAGCACGTAGTGTAGTCGAAGAAGCATTAGAATCGAAGAATCAACCTGAAGGCTTATTGGGCAACGCTCCTGCCGTTCCACCATACTTTGATGCTCCGCGTGGAGGGTTTATGAATAGGGGTGGACCATATCGCGGAGGCCGCGGCGGTTTTGATTCCAACAGAGGTTTCGATAGAGGTGGATATAGGGGTGGCTTTGACCAAGGTCGCGGCAACTACCGGGGTCGTGGTTTTGACAGAGGAGGTCGCGGCTTTGATAGGAGCAGAGGACGAGGATTTGGACGAGGACGTGGTGGTTATGATAATAATCGCGACCGGGAGATGCGAAATGACGACGAACAAGACCCAGCGTTGGAGGATTTCGGAGCCCCAGGTTGCGTGGTTTCAATGGAGAACGTACCATTCCGTGCCACTATTGATGATATAATGAACTTTTTCAGTGAATTTGAATTAACACAGGATGACGTAATAAGAAGATTTAACGAACGAGGGCAGCCCACGGGAGATGCGCGGGTCGCTTTCCGCACACCATTCGACGCTCAACGTGCGGTCAAGACGCGGCACATGGACATGATTCATGATAGACGCATCAGCCTTACAATTCTTTAGCACACAACAAATGAGCTCTACGAAACGGTATCCGAGGACTCTTTGGATTAACCGTGTGTATATTGATCATATTAGCCAATACAGATCGCGGCAAACTACTTGTGCGTTACCATAGACAAAGATGCTTGATTAGGAGTGGTCTTTGCACGTTAAATTATTACTGTGCAAGTCATGTGGTATTGAAATAGTGTTCCAAATTTAGAATTGTGCAAGGTACATAAATGTATGTACCGTTTGAATGACTATGAAGGGACTAACTAGCCCACCGTATCACGGGGAATACATAGTGTGACATTGATTTAGTTATATACCTATTTTTTTTAATAGTTCCACGTTAATACATCGTATTATTGATGTATATATATAGAATTAACTAAAAATAAAATCTAGAAATACAAGAGTTTACGTATTTCAATAAGTGTGTTAAGAATTTAATGTATGTAATTAAATACGTTAATAAAAATAGCCAGAGAATTATTTCTGCAATTACATTCGGTAGTTTTCTTTTAACACCCATATATATCTGTTTATTTTTACCTTCTCAAGACTAAACGACTGAATGGGTTTAAATTGTGTGACGATGGTACTATCAATTTCCATTTCTATTCTATTCTATTCTTATAAAACAATTATTTTAGTTGCAATTGCGAACCTTACCACTTACTTCTGCAACTCTCAAATAGTTTATGGAAAATCTCAAATCTATCATTCACTAAACATTCTATTTAATTCTTAAATCATAAGAGAATATTTTAACCCAGAAAATAATTTAGTAGTTTACTTTTTAACGGGAATCTTGACTTACTTAAGTATTTTTTTGTATACACCAAAGGTGATGCACACATCCGCACATATCGTGCATTAAAAAGCCTACACCCGTTATTAGTATATTAATAACCGAATTTTTAGCTACCATTGATATTAATAACAAAATCCGTTGTAGCTAAATATTGTTATCCGTCAGTCTTGAGCTGGTCTTCAGTCTCTCCATACCTGCCGCGGTTTGAGCTCCCTCTAGGCTCCCACTGGGTAACTGAATCTTAACCACTAGTTTCGAAAAAGGAAAGGTATTCACAATATAAACAATAAGTTTAAAACACATTTTATTATGTAACAATTATTAATATCATATTTATAATGTTACATTCAAATTATCCCTCTTAGACTTATAAATGCTAAATAAATTTATTGTTTCGTTACACAAAATTAAAATTCACTACAGAATTTAAAGTAATAAATTCACATTTTTACAGTAGAAAAATGTCAATTATTACATCTAATACATATTTGTTACAACTTTAAGTGACACAAATAAAAGTTGTGTTAAAAAATATATTCTGTATTAATTACATGAATAACATCAATACCAGATCTAAATAGTTATTACATAATCTGTGTATGCGCAGAATCTAAAAATATATACTGGAATCATGTAATGGAATAATAAATTACATTTATGTGCACATTTTGCAATACAGCCATCCCAATATACGAGAAATATTACATGTGGCCTTGAAAAATATATTTATACTTAGTCGTATATGGTACACCAAGCCGAAAGATAAGTAGAATCTCTCGTGAGACTCCGAACTACTTTCATAAAGAAACTGTAAAAAAAAATATTTTTATTTTAAACGTGGCTATAGGAATATTATATAAATTGTGCCAGTAACTTTCATTGTAGATTTAATATATAAGTAAACGTTAACATTTTATACTTTCTATATAGCATTGAAAACAAACGAGCATGATGAAAAATATTTAAGATCCTTTTTGTTTCTTTGGAAAATTTCTTCAGCGTAATGAATACTATCATTGTCTTTCAGCTTGGTATATCCTTAAGCAGTAGATATGGATATACAGCAAAGTAGCTACGACTGTGCAGAGACAAAAGAACTCTGCTCTAGACTCTGTGCTTATAATAATAGTATTTTAAATATTATATATGTATCAAAACTGGGAGGTAGTCTTTTACTTCAATATGAGAAGACAGAATTCTCTAAAACGAATAAACTAAATTATTTAACAGGGCTCGTCCCTGAATCACATGAAGCTGGAAAGAGAGTGGAAGGTTTTGAGAGAGATTTTAAAATGCGTGCGCGATTTCTATGGCGACATGTCAGTCTGATATTTGTTATGATGTATGTTTCAAAATTGAATCAGTATGAAAAAAAATTAAGGTACTTTTACAAAATATATATTCGTCATGTCGTCGTAAAGGATTTCTTCTCTATTCAAAACGACGAATTTTTGATACAAAGTACCTATTTTAAGATTGCATACAGTAATTTCTGATTAAATATTGCAAAATACAGAATAGAATTCAAAAACTTCACTAATAAGATTTTAAAACACGTGCTCAATCGACTAACATCTAAATTATAAAATCACACTTTATTCATAAAAACATACACTTACGAACCCGTTTTAAATACGTCAAACGATACATTTAGTTAGAAATAGGTTTATAACATGTTTGACTTTTTTATGAACAAATGTATAGAAAAATAACCAACATTAATCAGGTCCTAATGCCAGCCTCAAATGAGAAAAATACATACAATCAGCTCTATGTCCAATATATCGCAACCAGATCAACATAATATTATAAATTTAATTAAAACAGATTATAATCTCTTATCAATTATTTACTGATGATTTATCAGTATCATTTTAAAAAAAGTTAAATTTTCATCTACATTATAATAAAAATTCGTTAGGTAATACAAATTTTCAAGTAATTTTTTTTTGTATCTCACAAAACAGACTATTTGGTAACCATTTACCATGGGACGCATATGTATACGTATTTCCCACAATTCCGATATAGAAATAAAATCCTTTTCCTTCTATTATGTTTTAGTTCTATTATTTCAATTATTTATTATCTTTTAAATAGAAATAACAAAAGCCCAAAGAATTTCTTGGTATCAAAAATAGAATGGGAGAAAGTATATGTTGGAAAGAGATAGCTATAGATATATAAAAATACTCATGTGACCTAAACATTCAATATCTAACTAAACTATAAACTTGTTCGGACTGACTTAACCTAGTACCTAATCGATTTCCTGAATTACTGACCACTTGTAATCGTAATTACCAAAAATTACAAATGGCGTATATTTTACCAAGATGTAATGAGGACAACTTTCACCTATAATAATTCATATTCAAGCTCTTGCTGTTAAATGACTCGTGACTCGTTTATGTTATATTAATTTACTCGCCAATGAACTAAATCAGTCCAAACGAGGCTTATAGTTATGCTGTACATACACTGGTGTATCTTCACACTACGCATTTGCATAACAGCGAGTGATTATTAACAAAAATTAAAGGTATATTCATACGAGTAAAAAAAAACAAGTAGTTCATTTAATAATATCAATAGAAATTTAATAATGATATCTGCGGTGCTTATTAGGTGGGCGGTCGGATTATCGGTCGCATAACTTATTATGTAAGTAGTGTACTTGTGGCCATTAATGAATAAATAAGCGATATTTTCTATTATCTACTTTTAGCCGACTGCCAGGAGAAAGTATCTAGATTTAAAAGATGACTTTAAAAAGCAATTTTATTTATTTAAAAAATGCATTTACTCCATTGATTATTTTTTTTAATGAACGAATGAATACAATTCTGTCATATTGTATCTCAAATTATTATTAATATGATTAGTTTTTTTTCTTTTCTCTTCTTTCATCTCGTTTAAAAGAATGTAATACTCACTATTTTTATTATTATCACCGGAAGCCTTATTATAATTATTAATTTTTGAATATTTGGAACAATGTCCAAATATGATTTTAGATTTATATTATCGTATTTTAAATTAGACACAATAGTTATTGTAAAGAATACATAAATATCAGTTATACCCGAATTTATATATAAATGTCTTGGCCTTTTTATTATGTTTAAATTTATTAAATTAAATTATTAAACCCGTACGATTATACCTTTAAAATAAAAATAAACCTTAAAAAATAAGACAATAACTTAGTTAACATACACACTTTCTTATTGTAATAAATAAGCGTTACATAATAATATCAAATGTACATTATACAAGAATACATTTATACAAGAATCCACTTTAAGTTATACATTTGGGATCACTTGAGAATGGTAACAGACTGCACTCCTAATCAACAAAATTTCTTTTTAACCCCCGAATAATTCACACAGCGCCATCTAGTCCCTAGCTTAACCAAAGCTTGTGTTATAGGTACTAGACAACTGATATAAATACTTAAATACCTTTTTTTGTGATTACATACACAACATACAAAACACCAAGACTAATACAAACAATCATACTCATGTATACAAAAGTTTATACTGTGCGAGAAATCGAACCCGCACCATCGGAAGTAAGGCGACGTGCTAAACCGCTACACCACCATGGTCGTCTATTAGCAATACCATAAAAACTCTCCGTTTATTATATACACAAACTCCACTTGTATGAGTTGAGTGTGTAGTGTATACATGTTATTATAAATATTATAGTGGAGAGAAGGGATTATTAGTAATGGGGTCTGTGATCTCATTGATACAAATACCATATCAGAACGTCTGTCCGTTTGAAACAATTGTACAGATATAGTTTATTATTAACAACATTTTTAAGAGCACATACTTGTATTATGTCATATTATCAAGACAGACACGCATCAACATATGATGTAGAAATATATATATATGTATTTCTGTGAATTATTCATTTCATATAAATTAACATCTAAAATTAAACAAAGTCATGGATTAGTAAGTAGCATGATATTTAGTATATATATGTATTTGTATATATGTATAGATTTCACATTTTTAATCATTATTTTTTTGTAATTGTTTAGCGTACTTTGTAGTGCTTTCTTGCACTACATATTGAATAATGTCCTTACAATTACTTTAAAGTTTCATTAAAATCCATTCCGTAGACTGCGTGAAAGAGTAACAAACATTCATCCATTCTCACTCACAAACTTCAACGTTTATAATATTAAGATGTTTTTTTTATACAAAAGTATCATCAACAGTGATTATCTTAATAGGATAAGTAGGCTTCTACATGGTGATTATTACATAATAACAATACGACGACGATTTTTAAAGATTTCAGTACATTTTATTTAATAAATAATATATTATATTATTTTCAAACATACCGCGACGTTATGTTTATGAAAACGTTACAAAACATATGAATATACAGGACAGACTTACGCAGAATTGTATTTATATTATATCTAGTTCTACCTAAGACTTAGCACACGCGATTAATCGCCATTTTAAAATAGTAACAAGCAAAACTTGTATCATCGATAAAAAATCATCAATATTTATTAAATCGAAGCCACAGATATAATGATTTTTATGTATGGCTTGCTATTTTTCCCGCGCTTGTAAACGCGCGTACTTTTTGTACGTCATGTATTATTTGTTTATTAGTCATTGCTTGGATGAATGGATGGTTGATACTACATAAACATTGATGTTAAGTCTTCAATAACATCGGCAAAAAACAAGAGCAATGTATGTTAAATATAAGACACTTGCGGTACAAAAATTAGAGACTTATTAAAACAAAAAAGCGCATAGATAATCTCATCCAATTTCAATACTTATAGACCGACATGTACATCGATGTGTTTCTACTAAAGACTATGACGCTACGTTACGTATATGACGTCCAGAAAAGGCACACATCGCGATATGTAAGAAAAATAGCAATCCACAGATAAAAAACATCAATGCGCTGTCTGTAGTCAACAGGATATATTTTTATTGTTCGTACACTACCGCGAATTTGGAAGAAAATATTCCTTTATTGAAAATGTACAAGCACTTATTTTTAGAATAACATTTTAATACTACAGGTCGCATAAGGGTAAGAGGATTGTTAGTAATAGGGATGGATGAATACATTGGGTAACAATATATAATCTTCCTTTGATCCCCAAGAGACCATTAGCGCAGGCGCGTGTATCTATTCATAGTTTTTATAGTCAGGGCTGTGCCAACTTTTAAACATAGTGATTACTTGCTCAGTGCTTAGAAATTGTTTGCGTTTAATCGCGATGCTATTATATAAACAGTATACTAGAACATTCAATAGAAGACTAAACAAAACCAAACAATCTACGTGGTCCCCGTAATGTGATTGTTACACATCTTATAAAGACAAGCCGAGTATTTTCGAGACAGTAATCAGCCTAATATAAACGTTAAAACGTTATTATAAAGTGTACTAATCCGAAACCAAGTGCCAGCATTCATTAAACATTATTATGATATTTCTTTCACCGCAATTGTTTAAAAAAAAACAGCAGGATGAAAACTACGAATTAATTAATAAATAAATTTAGTAACATAATATACGTCCACAGATTTGTAATCCGTTTGTTTACTCTGTTATACGAATACGACCAGAACGTACAAATTCATATTAGATTTCGAAGTGCTATATTTTTTTTTATGATGAATGGGATGGAACCCTAGTTACTACATGAAAATGAATTTTAATACTCGAACAGTAGGGTATATTTTTCAAGTAGTAAATTGTAATTATAATAATTTTCACGCAATATAGTAGCTAATAACTAGCGTTGGAAATACAACTAAACAAATTACCAAGTAGATTGTCTATCATACATGTGATATTTTTACCATACTTAACTTTCATAATACTTAAACTAAAATAAATAAAAGAACGACTGAAAATTGTAGATAAAAACATTTTCAACACACTTGCTCGTAACATGGATATAATTTCACCGGTTTACGATATATAAATCAATTACGCTAAATGAGCTCGAAATACGCGTGCGTTATAAACGCAAACAGTGCGTCACTAGTATTTGCTATTTTTATTTATAAATCTCGCAACGCGCTAATTTATAATCTATAATTTTTAATAAAGTAAAACGGAGGAAAGGCAACAATGTGCAGTTTTTTGAGTTTATTTAAAATCAAGTGTGTTGAAAAATTTCGTACGATATATGTGCATATTTAACATAATGGGCTCTATTACGACCTCGTTTTCGAATCGGGCTGTTGTGTTGCCTCGTGTGTTATAACTATCATAACGCACTTATATCGTAATATACAGTATATTGGTACATATAATGAAAGGTTAATAAGTCGATATTAATCGTAAAATGCAATATCAAGGATTATTAATTAATATTTTAACGCAATTTTCATTAAATATTCATAGACTATTAGGTATCAATTTATATTGTCCCTCATAGTAGAATTCTGGACTGTATGTACTTATTTTTATGCAAATAAACTGACAGTGAGTGATGGTAAGTGGCAACTGCCATCATCCTGAAATACCACTCAAGAGTAGCTATTCCGAAGGACTAAGAAGTCATGCCTCGGTACCCTGGAATTTCACTACCTTATCTCATCCTTGAACTAATAAGGTTTTATCTATATCTTGATTTCAAATTAAAATAACATCGAACTGCAAATTCGAAGTTTGAAAATTCAAATTTAGATGTATAAATTGAGGTATAAGTTTCCCATGGTATACTCTTAACCGGAAAATACCGGTTTTTCTCTTCTATATATAGTATAAAAATATAACATTAGGTATGTACAGTGAGCCTGACATGTGATAATTATCCTTAGATTGTTGAAGATGGCCCCTATGTGGTTCTGAAAGAAAGTGATGTACTTATTTAATCATCTTTACATACTAACATATTACTACTACTACTACAACTATACTAGACAACTCATATAAATACTTACATATATTTTTAAATACCTGTATAATAATTATTACATAGTATAAAATAAAGTCGCTGTCGCTGTCTGTCCGTCCCTATGTATGCTCAAATCTTTAAAACTACGCAACAGATTTTGAAGGTTATTTTAATAGATAGAGTGATTCAAGAGGAAGGTTTATATGTATAGCCGGGCGAAGCTGAGGCAAGTATAATATAAAACAGCCAGACCAACACAAACAGTCATACTCATGAATACAAATGTCAGGACCGTCCGAGGAATGAAACCTGGAACCAAGAAGCGGTTTGCTAGACCACCAGACCACCGAGGTGGTCAAATAAACTACGTTTCGTATATCAATTAATATGAGTACTTACTTTTTATTATTTACATGATTAGGTGTGGTGTGGTTGGAATTGTGCGAGCTATCACTGAGATCAGAACTGGAGCTACGGATGTCGCCTTCCATCTGAAATTTTAAATATAATTCAACTTTAATTTGCAGCACCGTCTATCACCTCACCACTGTAGCGTATGATGATGTCATGAGGTGACGCTACATAATATATTGTTTATTGTAGTATGTAGATAGTAAGTAAACAGGTGAAATTATTTATTTATTTATTTATTTATAAACTCTTTATTGCACCAATAGAATTAATACATAAGAACTATACACAAAAGAGATATGGATGTACAAAAGGCGGTCTTATCGCTAGAAGCAATCTCTTCCAGACAACCTTTAGGTAGAGAAAATACAACAAAAGTGGTAGGTGGCGCATTATTGTACGTTAGTAAGTTTATTTGGTAGTGTGACATGGCTTATTAGGAGCATGTTTATTCGAAGCGACGTCGGGACGTATACTGAATTTATACTGAAATTAAATATATATTATCTGGAAAGATAAACTAATGGGAGTAGCGTTGCCAGACGTCCAACTTCCCGGGACGTCCCATATTTTAGGCTTAGTTAAAATGTCCCGGCGAGACTGACTCTGTCCCGTATTCGAGTCGTGCACCGTTTTTCATTATTAAATCGATCGATCTACGCTAGACAAAAATACTCACGCACGCAACGTTCGAACCCCTAATTTAATAGAAAGCGAGTTGATGACCGTTTTTAATTACGATTATAATTGTATTGATTTTTATAAATATGTTAAAACCTATAAAAATATGTTAAAACTGATTTGCTCTTCAAAAAAATGTAAAAAAAAAATAAAGAATGTAACTATATAATTTTGTTTTTTATTTGTAATAAACTGTACCGGGTAAAAAACTAAATTCCCGTATTTTTTGCCTATAAGCGTTTGCCCCTTATAGGCTGAAAAAAATCTGGCAACTCTAGTCTTAAGTGTAGACAGAAATATTATGTGTAAGCAAAAATTTAAGCGTAAAATGAACAAGATCGAGATGTATGAGATGAGATGAGAATACTGTACAACTGACCTGTCCGGCTTGTATGGTCTTGTATGCAATCTGAAGTATGAGCCAGGTCCACACCACATGGAGCACCAGCAGCAGGCAGAGCAGAGAATTGAAGATGTAGTACGCGGGAAACATCGGCAGCAACATGGGGGCGCGGATCGACGTACTGCAATGTTAATTTATATACTGTATTAATAATTTTGAACGGCCTCAATGGTCTTAAGGTTTAGCACACCGCTTTACTTCCAATAGTCGCGGGTTCGATTCCTCACACAGTGCAAACATTTGTATTTATGACTATCAGTGAGATTGTTTGTGTCGGTCTGGGTGTTTTCTATATATATAATGTATATTAACGAAAAACAATTAAGTATGTATATCATTTACCGTTTCTGTCTAGTACCCAGTAGAGCTTATTTCATAAGCTCTACTGGGCTTGAGACTAGATGGCACTGTGTATCATAGACAACACAGCCAGAATTATTATTATTATTAACAGGTTCATTCCGTGAGGAATAGAAAATATGTCGTTTAGAGCAGAAGTTAATATATGGTTCACTTCTACCATACATATAGGGGATACGCGTGTTTACACGTCAGACATACTTTCGCATCTATTATATTACTAGCTGTTGAGACGCGGCATCGCCTGCTATTTTTAAGTAAAAGATAACATCATATGATACAATCTATATTCACATAAATTTTCATTAAGTTCCATTCAGCCGTTTAGTAGTGAAAGACAGACAGACCGACACGTTCGCATTTGTATATTAGTATGGATATGTGATCTCACCTCCATATAATGTAAAATGGGTAAATGACAATCCTTGTGCTGATCCAGACTACGATTAGAATCAGGAACATTGTGTCGCAGAGACGCTGGTACTTCGCGTATTTCGATGCTTTCACCAACTGAAATGCGAGGAATTTCATCATCATCATCATTGTTATTAAATCACATCAATAACTAATTGTTTTGTAGCCAGTTACCAAAGGAAATCCCGTATAAAAGAGAATAGAAAATTTCATACATTTTTTTCGCATACTTACTTATAAACATTTATGAATAGTCATAATTATTTTTTTTTAATCTACCGTTCATTCGGAAAGCTGTTTTATAACAAGAAGAACAAACAAGAAACTTGCGTGTTCCTCTTTTAAAATATTTAGTCATAATTTTACATTTTTAAATTGAAATGTGAAAATACAAACTACCAAATAGCAGTAATTCACTACAGTTAAAATAATAAATACAGAACCAACAAGTTGAGATAAATCAGACCAGTTACTACAAGCAGCAATTGTTATATAAATTATAAAAAAAAATGCTATTTACTTCTTAAGTAGAATTACAAAAAAACTTTGTTGCTTTTTGACAAAACTTCAATTTTACATTTTTAAAATTTTGTGTGCATACAAACTATCAAATACCAATAATTATTCGTATTGATAACCGGGTTTTAAATGGAATATTTTTTTAATAAATAAAGGTGCTTACTACTCCAACCGTCGAGAGAGGTAAATACCTTTATTTACCATAAAATTATTCATGTTAGAACCCGGTTAACAATATAAATAAATATTTAACACAAATGTTTAAAAATAGCTAAATATCAATAAGCATATATATCAGAGCAGACCAGTTCCTACAAGCAGCATCCGTCATGATAATAACAAATGAACCTGCCATCATCGCGCTCAACCATGTCGTAGGGACCTCTATGACCCATACATTGTACTTTAGTACGTACCTCAACAAATATATCCGCACAGTCATGTAAAAACATCACTAGCGTTCCAATTCTGTGCAGATTGCACACCCAACTGAAGGAGAGCAGAGCGATGGTAGCGATGTGGTGGATGAACATCTGCCAGAAGTCCTTACGGCGCACATCCCAGAACTGCGATATGGCCAGTGACCAGTAGAATGCTGATGATATCGTATAATACCACCATACGTCGTTGGTTAAACCCTGTAATAGTAATAAATAATAATTAATAACCTTAAGATTATTCACACATCGTTATCTTGTGTCAAAATAGGCAGAGCATTTTTTTCTTAATAATATTTCAGGAAAATTCATACAACATGTCCAATCCCAAGCTAAGCAAGCTTGTGTTATATGTACTAGACAACAGATGTAAATTCATAGACATATATTTATTGTAATTACATACATAATATATAGAAAATTATAATTAATGCAAATGTATGTACCGTGCGAAAAATCAAACCCACGATCATCGGAAGTAAGGTGGTGCGCTAAACCGCTAGACCACCGGGGCCGTCACAAGCAATTGGTGTGGCAAACAAGCTGACGGACTACCTGATGGTAAGCGGTGACCGTCGCCTGTATACCCAAACAGAATCACAGACATCATGTTCTATACCACCACTCACACTTTACCGATGCTGGATGAATGGAAATTTGTTACTCTTTTACGCAAAAACTACTGCACAGATTCGAATGAAATTTCATACATAGATAGGTAATATCCTATATTAACATATACGACACTATTTATAAAAATTCACGCGGGCAGCACTATCGTATAGAACCAGTAATCAATAAAGGAGTTAAATAGTATTCGAGTTTGAAACGAATAAATTTTGTGTATTATGTGTAGGTATATATATTTATTATTCAAGGGAAAATGCAGGTGTTCTGTCACATGTGAATTTAGAATATTGAATAGTATACCAATTAAATTTAATAGACATAGTGAAGGAATTAGATATACACACACAAAATGTAACATTTAATTATACATTACAAGTTAAATTCAATACATTTTTAAATAAAACGGACTTGTATAATTAACAGTTAGTGAAAGAAATTTATTTTTATTATTATTTATTTTATTCTTCTATATTCTTTATTGTACATAAATATATTTTCAGGTATGTTAATGAGAAATTAGATAGAAATTAATTGGACGTATCCCGAAAAGAGATATCTTCCAGTCAACACAATACAGAGTGGCATAGGAAGTGTTGAGCAGGTCAAAATGTGCAAATAATAATTTAATAAAATTTATCATACATACAAATTTTAATTGTCTGATGACTTTGAAGCATGATTTTGTAATAGTTTAATCTTATATATAAAATTCTCGTGTCACAGTTTTCGTTCCCATACTCCTCCGAAACGGCTTGACCGATTCTCAAGAAATTTTGTGAGCGTATTGAGTAGGTCTGAGAATCGGCCAACATCTATTTTTCATCCCCCTAAATGTTAGGGGTAGTCCACCCCTAAATTTTTTTTTTTTATTTTAAGGCAAAACCACGTTTTCAGGGACAGCTTTTATTATAAAACCAACAGCTTACAATCCAATACATTAAATCAACAGTCCGTTTCTAGAGATAGTCAACAACAGGTTTTTCAAAGACTCGGTAAAAGAAAAAATAAAAATGTGGCAAACAGAATAAAGATAAGAGATAAATTTAGGATGTAGAAATCAAATAATATGAATTACACAATAATAATATCAATTAATATTTTAATTTACCTATTAATAACAATAATTAATAGGCAGATTAAGAATAATTATTTTATTTTAAGAAGAATTTGCCTGTAGAAGAGGACTGGATTGAAAGACCACAGAGCAGCCACAGTCCACTCCAAAATGGACTACAACAAATCATAGGGTGTAATTTCAGCTTTATTTATTGAAATAAAGCGTAAATGTACCAGTTAAGCAACAATTTATAGAGGTACTAGCATTCTAACCTAGCTATTATCCTTGTATATTTCCTTATATTTTATAAATAGTGTATATCCTGTTGTATTTGAGATTCACGATCTACTCGATGTAATCCTTAGTTCTTAGTAATATTATAAATGCGAAAGTAACTCTGTCTGTCTATCTCGCTTGCACGACAAAACTACTGAACCGATTTAAATGAAATTTGGTACACAGATGTTCTAGACCCTGAAAAAGGACATAGGCTATTTTTTAATGCGAAAAAGGGTTGTAAGGGAAAATGAAACTTTGTATGGAAGTATTGTCATTTTTAAAACTAGAGGCATGTAACTTTTTTCGTTTCTTTTTGGTGTTAGATTATTAAATATTTTTCCTTTATTTAGTCAAGGTCTATATAACACATGGATCAAATTGCGGGCACAGCTAGCTCTGCTCTAATCTAAGGCAGTAAAATCACAAGGTACTCATAACATTTTAGTAATCCTCGTTAAGCAAGATGACGGCCTCGGTGGTCTATCGGTTTAGTGGACCGCTTTACTTTCAATGCGCCTGGGTTCAGTACAAACATTTGTATTCATGAGTATGATTGTTTGTATCGCTCTGGGTGTTCTCTATGCATATCATGTATTTATTTACTAAAAAATGTATCTATATACTTATATTATTTATTGACGACCTCGGTGGTCTAGCGGTCTAGCACACCGCTTTACGACCGATGGTCGCGGGTTCGATTCCTCGCACGGCACAAACATTTGTATTCATGAGTATGATTGTTTGTATCGGTCTGGGTGTTTTCTATGTATAATATGTATTTATTTACAAAAAAAAATAATCTATGTATATGTATCAGTTATCTAGTACCCATAACACAAGCTTTAGCTAGCTTATCTTGGGTCTAGATGGTGCTGTGTGAAGTGTCCTGATATTATTATATTATATTATATCAGTTGGCTGGTATGCCTGGTACCCATAACACAAGCTCTCTCTTAATTTGTGACAAGAGTAATAATATCCGTAGACTATTCACACGGTGGATATTATCATTATTATAATTCATCCATCATTTTTGCGGTCATCTTTTCCATCCATCCACTTTCATGTTAAACACTTTCTTTAAGGCATGGTTCTCACTGAATAAGTAAAAAATATATCTCTCCACCAGGACCATCAGTTTTTAGTCATTACAGTAACAAAAAAAGTTAAATTTACCTGATGAGGATATCCAAGATAGCACTGATCTATGTCCCAGAGCCATTCCTTGTCCCACAGTACATAGGTGCCAAATGTGAAGTTGCAGAAATAGAAGGTGGCCTTCCACGCGTTCTCACAGAACTTCACCAGGGTGGAGGGCTTGTCCTGGCTGCGGCGGAGGCGCCACCACCGCTCCACTTGCCGTTCAGAAATATCCAGCTTTTTCGCCAGACTTGAAACCTGAAATTATATAATAGGGTTTAGATAAATACACTTTAATAAAATCAAGGCCGACAATAGATACCTACGTATAAAAAGGATAAGGAGCATGTGTGTGATAGTCTTTTTCTGTATATTATTATTTTTCTGTGTATTTTATTCCTCTCCGCAATAGAACATTCTAGTATTTCTCAGAAACTTTTTACTTCATGCTTAATATTGATTGTAATTATAGTGCTACAACCCAGTTATGACTTACGGTGCCGAAACGTGGACACGGACGATTCGACTGGACCACCAACTCAAAGTCGCTCAACTAGCTATGGAAAGAGCTATGCTTGGAGTTTCTCTGAGGGATTCTCTGATTTGATATCAGAAACGAAGTAATTCGCCAGAACACTAAGGAGACCAACATAGCTCTACGAATTTGCAAGCTAACCGTAAGGGTTACAGTGGGCTAGTCATATTTATCGCAGAACTGGAATAGATGCATTCTACAGTGGATACATATGGTTGCTGGTAATAATTGTATGAGAAGAGTTGAACGCCCAGTGATGTGGCTTGGAAGAGGCCTATGTCCAGCAGTGGACTGCAGTGGGCTACTGATGATTTAGTTTGCCTACATATTAGAGTATTACTTTTATTTACATTTTAATTTAACAAATATACAATTCGTGAACTTTTTAATTAGTCTCTTTTTTAGTGTTTTGCATGGGTACCTCAGTCTCACTTATTTCAGCCGCTAAGTAGCTTGCATTGTAAGCTGTGTTTGGGTTGAGATTGGGCAGTGTATTTACAATGACATCTTAATCCTCTGGAATACCAACACTGGTGTCATGTAATCGATCGTGACCCCTTTTTTTTCTTTTTTTTTTATAGCACAGGGGACAAACGAGCTGGCGGCTGACTTGATGGTAAGTGACTACCGCCGACCATGAGCAACACCAGAGGAAATGAAAGTGCATTGTCAGCCTTTTAAGAAGGAATAAGCTCTTTTTATCTTGAAGGTTTCAATATCGTATCAGTTTGGAAATACCATTGCTGGAAGGTGATTCTACAAAGTGGTTGTGCGTAGCAAAAATTTTTCTAGAAAACCGCACTGTAGAGGACCGTCATTCATACAGATGGTACTTTAGTTTTTGGCGGGTGGTACGGTGGTGATACTCTGGTATTATTCCAACCACCATATAGGCCGGCAGTTTGTTTACCATTCCAATTACATAAAAAAGACCACCAAGATAGTTAATAATAAATACCCGATAAAAGCAATTAAATCGGATATTAACATTATTGATATCAACTTCAGTAATTAATATATCATTGAAACGAGAAACTGAAATATATGGTTCGATGTAACGTCACATAGCGTTATCATGTCATACTATATTTATATGTCAAACTAACAGTTACCTACGACTTGGTTAGCGTGGAATTTAAGTGTTCTTTTATTGAAATAAAATTTCTAATATAAAAGTAGCGTACGTTACTCCTTATAACATTAGTTACTGCAAGTAAAATGCTTTTAAAATCGGTCCATCCGTTTCAGTGACTAGAAAGAACAGACAGACAGATTTTTTAGAATATGTTTTTGTCTTTTATGCATTCATACGTTGTCACGTTAGGGGTACAGACAAAAGATAAGGAGATTATAAGAGTATAATTACAAAAATAATACAGAGAATTATAAAAACACAACACGAGGAACAAAAGGCTCTGCACTGCTCAAAATAAAAAATAAAACCAATAGTTTCTGAGATTAGCGCGTTCAACCGAACAAAGAAACTTTTCAGCATTATATTATTACTACACTTATTACACTTACGACAAATATTAGGGTTCAAAAATGATAAACGGAAACCTACCTGGGTGTGTTCAAATATATAATTTATTTATTTAACTTCAATGCACAAAAATAATGTGTACATATGGTAGACTTACACACCTTGCGGCGTTATCTACCAGGCAACCATGAGTGGTGCAGAGAAAGATTGTTGGCGGTGCACTAATATATAAAACATGTCAACGAGTGAAGCAGAATAATGAAAATAAAATTTGTTTACAATATTTGTTCCGAACCCTAGCTGTGAGAGCCTAACTCACACTTCACAGATTTTTATCTTTAATCGATTTCTGATAAGTGTATTTATGGTTTGCCATGTCACTGGGCGTCATCGTATGGTTTTTTCGCAACAAAACATTAGAGAATACAGATAAAATATAGAAAGACTCATTCTTTTTAAGATAATGGAATTTATTTTACGCCCCTATGAGTAAAATATTCACAAACTTTGAATGTTATATTAATTATATTTAATCAACAGCCTAAAAAATAAGTTTCAAGTTTCAAAATCGACGATACTTCCATACAACTTTTCATCTCCCCTTTCAACCCTTATTACAATATTTACCCTCTAGTATATAATACAAAAGACCGTATTACATACTTATTGGTAAATATTGTAATAATTATAAGTAGATTTGTTACCGATGTTTTTTTAAAGACCAGGTCACATGTTGAGCGAAGCGCGTTTATTCTTAAAAAGTCAACCTTGACCGATCGGAATTTTTTTGAGTGGTAAACAATAAAGGTACGAAGGTTGACCTTCGATGAAATTTTGGTCTCGATCGGTCAAGCCGTTTCGGAGGAGTATCGTTACAAAGAGTGCAAATCTGATCTCCGAGATCGCTCCGCGCTTCATACTCCTCTCAATGAATTCGTCCATAGTGAATTTGAAAATTTTTTTCAAGCTTTTGTTAAAAGACGATTTAAATTATTGCCAACGTGGTACGCGATATGTAAACGTCACGTGCACGTGTCGTAGAGACCTTGGTGTTTGATAACATAACTAAATATTTGAATCCAACCCTGGCCTAAATGTCACAAAATAGCTAAAATATTGGCTTTTCGATTACTCTAATATGTGGTAGCTCATTTTTTATCATTTAAAACCGTCTGCAGGTAAGGGGTTTTCATTAATGTGGACTAATGCTCCCGTTGCTATGCTAGCAATCTCTCTCTCTCTGTCTCACACACACACATGTACATTACAAGTAACTGATAGTCTGTTATGTTTAATTTAATACCTATTTTGATTCTCTTTTTGTTATCTTTTCAGTCAATTGTAATTCCAATAATTGTAAATTGTAAGAGGAAATAAAAAAAATACAAGTTTCTACGTAGTTTAGGTACCAGGAAACAATGTAAAATGTAAATATTGGATGTAATATATATTTTTTATAGCAATATACCATAGTAGGTTCACGCGGTTACTTCTGGAAACCATCATGATAAATTCCTGATGAATTTGTCATGATGGGCTAAATCTAACCTGACCTCATGCTCAGCTTATCATCCCCCAATGGTACCTCGCCAGCGTAAATCGTTAGCACAGGCGGGTACATAATTCCATTATAATCAGTTAAAAATCGCCCTATAACCCGAGAATCTGAATTCCAATAGCGTAACAATGTTATTTATAGTTAATAGCGTTCTAAATTATAAAATATAGATACCTACATACAAACTATTGATAGGAGAGTTATTTATAAACAAACTAAGGAAATAGGGACTCTATTATTATTTCCTTAGGAATTATTTTCATAGTTTGTTACTTGTTTTTGTTTCCATGTTCCCGGAGGAATATTGGTATACAAAATTGGAATTCTTGAAATGACTGAACTAGTAGTATTTGGATAAACCACAGATAACATATTCTGTTCTGTGGAATAAATGCACTGCCGTCTGCCAGGGGTCAACCGTAAAATATATACATTACACAAATTTCAAGTTTATCACCCCCTCGCCCTTATCAAAGTTTTAAAAAGTTATTTTATTAAATTTAGAAAAAAAACAGTAATTTACAATACTTTTTTCAATAGATAGATAGAGTGCCATGATGGCTGGCTCATCCGTCATACTCGTGAACGTGTGTTGCTTGCGAAGATTGGTCTGTTTGGGTTACGAACACTAATTAGACTATTTGCTTTTAACAAAATAACAGCATATGCTGGTGGTCACTCTATTCTCCCAAATTTAAATTTAAAAATGTATCTGTATTTTTGTAAACATGTTCAACCTTATTTGAAAAGAATACGAGCTGAGTTTCTTTTCAGTTCTCAGCTCGAAATCATTCCGAACTGACGGTAGATTTGACATATCATAATAGTCTGTAATAGACCTACATGAATAAAAAAAAAATTTTATTTAATAATATGATAACTTTAAATTGACACCCCACTCCCTATCAGTGTCTTCGTCCAACCCTTAACTTCCTCCCTTAATGTGAGATATAATTTATATATGACCGGGTAAATGAAACATAGTAAATGTTTCATTAATGGATAAATATAGAATAGTGATAATGGATAATAAACATACTATTATTTAAAGATAGCCACATTATCAGCGAGTATTCCACGCGGGCAAAACTGCGAGACATAGTAGGTATTAGAACCCGCAACTCCATACTCACATTTTTTTAACTTACTAATATAAACGCGAAAGTTTGTGAGTATTAATGGGTGGATGTATGAATGAAAACTCTTTCACACAAAAACTACTGAACGGATTTTGATGAAACTTTACTAAAAATACTAAAAGTCATTCTTTTTGGTTCTATAACGTACATCTAAATGATATACGTTATAGAACGTACTAGTTATGCCCGCGGTTTTGTCTTGTCGCGTGAATTTTTAAAGCCTATATGTTATTCGGATGTATAAGCTATATTACTGTAAAGGTTCATAAAAATCCCTTCAGTAGTTTCTGCGTGAAAGAGTAACAAACATCCATCCATACTCACAAACTTTCGCGTTTAAAACATTAATAAGTCATTCAATAATTTTCATGTACAGACAGCGATCAGTTACATCTTATGTGTATATATAGGTTATTATGTACTGTTATATAATAATCTATACGATTATTATATAACAGTACATAATAACCTATATACAGTTATCTATATTATTCAGTTGGAATTTATTGTTATGCCAATAGACATGGATTTAGATTCCGCAACTGCCTGTAATATGCTTATCAATATTTATTTCAAAATTAGGCAATAATGACTCTTATTTACAATATATTGTAGGTGAAAGAATATTCCCCATATTAATAACAAAACTCCTGGCGAATCTATATTATATATATAATAATACATTTATTCAAATATAATTAACATATTGCTTTAATATTGTAACTAATGTACTAATATTATACATTTTAAATTATGTCTATCTGTCTGGAACATTTGCTCGACTGAACTGTTAAATGCTTCTGAATGAAATTTAACGTGAAAAACAATGTATGATGAGTACGTAGTCCGTCTAGTAATAATTTATAAAAATAATACGGATGGGGGTGAAATCGGGGCTGAAAATACTCTGGAAGGGACGTAGGGGGTGAAAGTATGTTCAGACGACACAAAGTGTAATGAATATGTAATATATTAAATGCAATAATGAGAGTTTCACGCGTAAACTGCTGACTGGTTTATGATGAAGTTTGGTATAAACATAAATGAGACTTTAAAATGGGTTACCTTGTGCCTACACTTATAATATTTCTGTCAAAACAATATTACATTTTTCTCGCGACAAACTGTCGATTTTTTCGCGAGAAAAACATATTAGCTTGTTTTTACCGTAATCGGCTGCATCAACTAGTTCGGGCTCTGAAGAGTTGTTGTATATCACAATGTAGATATCTAGATTAAGGTTATCGTTTCAAAGCCTATACTATATTTTTTCTTAATCCTTCCGTAAGATATTGGCGGATTTTACCCAAACGCCATAATCAAATTACAACACCGTCATTGCTCTTATTTAAAAAAAATATCGCAACAGGTAGTCTTATATATACATATATATAGTGTAGTAGTAGTAGTTAGTTAGTTAGTTGCCTGCGATATCGTCTGCTTTTATGAGATACTAGCTGTACCCGCGACTTCATCCGTCGTGAAATTGTGATCTTGACGAAATAATGAGAAAATATTTAAATCTAATCGAAAAAATCCAATGAAAAAAGTTTCATCGTACCAACTAGCTTCAAAACGACGAATGTCCATACTACCTTTCATCGCCTTTGAACCTTTTTTTTCGTATTAAATAGTAGCCTATATCCATTCTCAGCGTCTAGACTACCTGTATACCAAATTTCATTTAAAATAGTCCAGTAGTAATTGCGTGAAAGCCAGACAGCGCGACAGACAGACAGATTTACTTTCGCATTTATAATATCAGTAATAAGGATATATAAAACTAACGATTACTTGCGACATCGTTTCAGTATGAGATTCATTCATAACTTAAGAACTACGCTCTTGTCAGTGGAGCTCTTGCCACTTTCCGCGATCTTCCACCATGCTCTGTATGAGTATAAGACACTAAAAATAATCTTATTAAAATAAACTAAATAAACAAAACTTAATATAACCACTTTAGTATAGACATATTTTTTTTATTCTATCACTCATTTGGAAAACAGAATCAGCACAAGAAGAACGAATAAAAAAATTTCATAAAATTCTATACATGTAGTAGTTTAGTTTAACATGTAACAAATAGCTAGAATAGATACACTTCCGCATTTATAAAAATAGAATGAACTTTTAGTTTTAAATACGACGAAAATGTTAACAAACAAGTAATGTCAAAGTAATGTTAAGAGATAAAGATTAAATGAGGTTGAATATACTTAGAGATAAATGTAAGGTAAGTAGGTGGTTGCTCAAGTAACTGTTTATTTAATATATTGCTCTTCTCTATTGGTGCCATTCGGTAGTTTGTGTTCAGACGCCACGTCACCCTGTACCGTCAGTGGTAACTCAGGCATTGTCATTGCGGAGGTCAAGGATGTCATGCCTCAGTACACTGTAATTTCACTGCCACATCTCACCCGTCAAAAAAAATCTATATAAAACGAATATATAAAAATAAGATTTGACGAACTCCATAGTCTAGCGGTAGCACACCGTCCGTTATAAGTTCGATGGTCGCGGGTTCGATTGCTCGGCGCAAACATTATGATTATTTGTATCGGTCTGGGTGTTTTTTATGTATGTATTTACGAATTAGAATTAGATATATAATCAGAATAATATGTATATAATTACGTTATCTAGTACCCATAACACAAGCTTTAGCTAGCATAAGTCTGGTCTAGATGGCGCTGTGTGAATTGTTCTGAAATTATTATTATTATTATTATAAAAAAAAATGCGATATTGTCCCCAAGGCACTATATTTTGAAAGTTATGTTGTTTATAACGTCGAGATATAAATTGTTTATAAAATCTAGAGACTTTTATCCAGTCACCCGGAAGTTGTTGTCCCCAAAATCAATACTGGGGCAAAAGGGTTCACCCCGAGGCCCCAACCTTCAACTCCCTTGGGGGTGCGGTGCGGTACGGGACCCGTCAACCGAAAAACATGTTTCTACTAATTTTTATCTGTGATTATACTAAGTCAAAATCTTATAAAGCTAGCTGAAATAGGTCAGACTGAGGTTAGGTAGTTTTTTATTTTTTTTTTATTGGCACTGCTACATACAAAGCTCTATTGTGCTCATCCTTTTTAGAGTTCGCAGCCTAAACTCGTCAAAGACCAAAATTGAAGCATATTCTTAGGAGGGATCGTTTTTATTTCCTCAGGATAGAGTGTAAAATTTCCTAATTAGATATTACATTTACGTATGAGTGGGCTACGACCACAAAGCATGACCTGAATAACCATTTTTATTATATGTATAATTAAAAATAATACATACATCTTTCAACCTGGGTGATGTCTGATATACTGCCTCCAGTTTGGGATTATTGGGTGCTTTCCTTGGTCTTGTGTCCTTAATGCCGAGTGACTTGCCAAAGGAACTGAAAACATAACTGCAACAAACATGATAAATAAATACACTATATCCCTTGACAATTCAAACAATGCCATCTAGTCCGAAGCTAAACAGAACTTGTGTTATGGGTACTAGACAACTAATATAAATACTTAAGATATTTTTTTGTAAATAAGGAACATAATATTCATAGAAACACCCAGAATGATACAAATAACCTGACCCATGAATACAAATGATTGTACAGTGCGAGGAATTGAACCTACGACCACTGAAGTAATGTGCTGAACAACTGAGGCCGTCAGGAACATTGGAAAGATAATATTTACTACATACATAAGTCTGTTATACTATCCAAAGTACCTGATTTATTTTATTAGCATTGAGAAAAAAATAGAAATAGTGTTTATTCCAATAAACTTAATAGAAACACTGTTGAATAGTCATATTATTTTATTCATTTGGAATGCAGACTCATCACAACAACAAGCAAGATATTTTTTGTGTTTAGAAGATACACTGAGCAGATTCATTGTGTACCCATTTGTTTTTTGCATACCTGCATAATTTTTTTTATGATTATCATATAATCATTTTTATTGCTTCAGTAATAAAAATAATTTGTTACAAATTTAGGTCAGTACAATATAATTAGTTACAAGTGTTAACAAATTATTAAAAATAAAATACTATAAATATATAAAATCTGGGTTTCATTAGAAGCTCCATTGTGTTACAAAACAATGTGATCTAGGTGAAACCACTAATAAAACTAGCAGACATAAAAACCTCAAAACTTCTATTATTATCTTTGAAAATTGTACTCTGTGGTAATCTGTAATTTATTACAGATTGTTATTGCTTTATTAGTTGATTGTTGTTGATATATAAGTATAGATGTTTAAGTTAAATTTAAATTATTATCATAAAGTCCATGCAAATCATATGACTGACTCAGTCATTCACTTAAGAGAGGCATTAGGATAGGTAATTCTATAGTGTAGACATAGTAATTGATGCATAGAACACACAAGGTTACATGCAGACAGTGTGTAAGCACAGTAACAATTTATTTTATCTCCAAAGTCATGCAGTCACTTTACTATTTCTATTGTATTTTACAATGAAACAACAAATAAAATTTAACACTGCTTGTTTAAATGCAGATAAATTTTATTACTTTTTTGTATGCTTGAGTTATATGTTGTTACTTTATATAGGAATGGAATGGAATTCCTTGTGATCAAACGAAAAAATATATTAAAAAAATAAAATTATTGCCAGAAAAAAATTGTAATAATGTTGAATTAAAATAATTAAGTATTTATCCTACAACTAAAATGATAATACATATTTTAACTATTATCACTTTTATGATTCATTGTAAGTTACATGCTTACAATATTAAATATTCATAGGAATAATTAATTAATTATTTACTGAATAATTAATGTAAAATAATATATATTATTAAAAAAATAATATACAGAGCAGTCATTAACTATCACAGATAATAATGAAGAATGATTTATTACGGAATACCTACTTAACATACAAGAATTTGTTTTAGAAATTAGAACGATTAACTCAATAAGATGAGACCGGCAAATGCGTGACTCACTAGATTCATTACAATGAAATGATAGGTTATTTCGAACGAGTTCGTTAAAATTATATGGACTTAATACTTACTTTTCAAGCACATATCGTAGAAGTATAAACACGAATGCTAACGGTATAGGATAGAAAACGTGATTGGAATCGTTGTAAATGACTGCCTTATCTGGTCCAGGCGCTAAACTATCCCACGTAGTGTTAGGAGGCAACCAAACATGCTCGTTCCAAAATGCATCGAGCACAACTCGTAACATATTCAACACTATTTGTTTCAAAGTCACTATTAAACACTGTTTAGTTGATAAAATGTAATATTCAGAAGCAACCAGCGAACGACGTGAACGGGCAAAGAATACAAACGAAATCGGATAATAAATAATGAATGAATGAATTTAAACGATAATTGATATTGAAATGAAATATGAAATTCTGACGCTGACTGATCAGTAAGTCTGTATTATTGACACTGACACCGATAATCTGTGCTGTCAGTTGTATCTGACTGACGGATTTAATGTTGCTACAGAATCCACAGATGATAATAATAGGTTAATTATTAAAGTATTAGATAAATTTTAAATTATCTTGGATTTATTTAATGTTGGATAAATTTTAATCAATTCGATCGTGCGAGTCGTAAACACTTGAGGCTTAAGTGTCTGGGGCTTTATCCTGAAATATAAAATAAACAACATCCGTAACGAAAGTTAGCCATGAATTCTGAAACAACGCTAAAACAATATACCTCTGAATGTCGCAGCTAGAGGGCAGGGAAATAACCTAAACCTAATAAAAAAAACTAGGCAGCAAACGTACAGAATGTCTCCTGTATTAATAATGTAGACTATTGCCCCCATTGATAACATTGCTACGCTGGTGGGAGGATTATTAGTAACTAGTGGTCCGTTGCAAGCAATGTACCATGTTAGATCAACCTCATCGGAGTTCCCCCTGGAAAATATTATGGCTAATTAATGATGACAAATTCATCGACGGGCTAATCTAATCTGACGTCATGCCCGCGAGAATATGCCGTTAGCGTAGGCGGAAGCTCTATTTTATTATCGTGTATAAAAATAAGTAGTAGTAGGTAAGAAATCATAATTTGTTTTCTTAATGGATGGAAGTTACTTATATACTAATATTTAATTATAAATAATTTTATAATTGTCAGTAGTAACATATTTTATCTTTAATAGTCCTATAAATATTATATTGTTATCGTAAATTATTACAATGAGAATGAATTACGCCCTCAGTTAAATGTTTCATTTGATGTCATTGCTCAGAGATATTTTTAATATCATAAGAAAGCAATAGCAGAAACAGCCTCGTAGACAATAAATTAAATGACATTTATACGCATAAAGGAGCGTTTTTTTTCGCACTATTCTAATGGTATTAATAGTTAACAATTAAGTTATATAATATAACTGATAAATGATAGATGAATTATAAACTTAAAATTGAAACAGAATATCTGTCATTTGCGCATGTCTTTATATCCATTTTTTTTATTTACATTCTTTATTACTATATATCATACAATATAAATCAAAGAGTTTATCATTATATATTCTTTTATTATCATTAATGGTTTTGTTTGCATACAAAAGAGAATATTCGCAAATCAACGCCCACATACACATTCAGGCACACACAACATTATAACACACATTACTGTACACAACATACACAGTTTTTTTATATTTAACATAACTATTTAATTCCGCGTCACATAATTATTAATCACAATTCTTTTTAAAATGCATTCTCAGAGGAACGAAACCTTAGGACATGGTAATAGCTCGATAATTAAAAAAAATATACATATTGTTCGTTAGCCATTCAATTTAAACTTTATCGTAGACATCTTAAGGTTTATTTGACATTGAGATTATGTCATTATAAAGACTTATGCGTATTGCCAAACCCTATTTTATACAGTATAACAGTAATGGGAATATAAATTTATTATATACATTTCAACTATGCACCAAAAATAAATAAACACCTCATAATTTTATTTATGTTATGTTAAAAATACTGCAAGCAATGCAAGAGATGTAATTATTCGGAATAGCTCATAGACAATTTATATAGCTATCACAGAATAAAATTGAGAAGCGGGCGCAACTCATTTTTAGGTTGCTGATATACTGTCGGTCAGTCGTCGCATTTGTAAAGCGTAGGGTGTACAACAAAACGCGCCTATCGCATCGGGTAACCTGACAATTAACCGAGTGTATATCAGCTGCCTTACATAGATAGCAAATCGAAAGGAAGTTGTGTTTATTGTCTAAATATTTACTAAATATAAAATAAAATAGCATCTACATAATAATTTACAATGACAGCACCGTTAATATCTTTACTTATATCTTATACTCTCTTCTTAGCCCTACACAACTGCTGTGGACAATTCTGTATCTAAATACGTCTATATGCCTTTCATGCCACTGCAACTTAGGCTTATTACTCTATAAGTAAACGCCATATATAAAAGCTATTCTTAAAACGTACAGTAGTGGTAATGAAGAAAGTTCCAGAATAATTAAGAAGATATAGTTCAATGTCGAAATAACGTCGTCAGTCGAAATTGCATCTTATGATATATATCTTCTTGCATGTTAACACTAGAATGATTATAATGTGTACTTTACTGTGCGATGATTATGATAACTCATAAGTAATTAACACGCCTCTTAATAGTATAAGTACAGAAGGTAAAATAATTTATGTAACAAAAATTATTATAAATATCGCTTCAGTCTTAGCGAATACTTAAATAATAACTATACTATCTATAAATGTCAACCATAACGCCAACACCACAAATAATTATTGGCTTCTCATTATAAATTAATTTATTTATTTATTATTGACAAACGAAAACCGATTCAATTCTAATAAATTAGATAATTGGTATTTAGGTATGACAACTGATTAACTTTAGGCCTATAACAAGACAACTTGATCCGCAAATTGCCTACATCGATTCAATAAGGTTATATTGCGTGAACGCAAATGGTTGTTGTTGTCCTATAAAATATTTAGTTATATATAACATAATTATAATTCATAAAGTAATAACTCTATAAATTATATTTTCGCCCTAACTCGTTAGAGCCTTTCATGTTTCGGTTTAATTTAGGCTGATAATATACAGTCGGTCACCGCTCTCTCTGGAGATGAGCGTCGTAGCAACCAAATATGCTAAACGGTATAATAATAGGTCGTTGCAATCAGCCAAAATTAAAAAAAAATCTATTTTAATCATCAACATCGTATGTCAAAGCACTACAGAGCCTTTAAACTTGTAATATAATAGTTATTTTTTTTAATGCATTAACAATCAATATTAAATTTTACTAAGTAGTAAAATAAAAAAAAATTGTTAAATAGAGAACAACATATTCTACCATTTACGAGCGCACAATTTATGAATTCAGCCATATATATGAATATATTAAATTATTTAAACAATATTAAGGCACAAAAATATCGTTATTAGAACCAAGTTTTAATACACTGTAAAATATTTGTAAGATTATATTAAAGAATGACGAGTTCTTAATATTACACGGTTTAATACTTAACGAATACTAAGTAAATAAATAGGTAAGACAGAAATACAGCGTTAGGCAGAAACGGTACCTATATTAAGACACAAGATCGGTAATATATAACTAATACCCAATCAACCCCCGTTACCTTTATGAAGGCAATATTTTTTAATAAAATATACATTAATTAATTAATCGAAATAAAAATAAATAACCATTTTTTTTTAAATTATATTAAATTAATAAACAAAAAAATGGTTTCTGGGTATGTTCTAGAACAAAAGTTGTTCGTTATCATGGGTACTTTCATATCTTTGCGACTTAGTACTTACACCATTTCTGAGTAACGCTGAACAAGTGTAAGTATATGCGTATGTATTCGTGGGGAAAGAGAAATTATGAGAGAATACTAAAGTGAATAGTAATTGAGATTCGACTGGAATCAAAACGAGCTTTAACATTCTAAGGTAAGGTTCAGTTTTGCAAGATGTCGATCCATGACTAGTTGGTTAGTTATTGGGCATTGTGAAATTAACCTTATTACGTCATATCATGGACTAAAATTGTAGAGCGTGAAGCGCTTTTGCTTTACCTATTGCTTTTTGCTATATATCCCGAATTTTATATTGGTATATAAGTAAATAGATTTCTAAGAAATCATATAATAGTTTTCAATTGTAGCGACTTTAATTTGGCAGCTACTTAACGCAACCATACAGACTGATAGATGTAAAGTTTAAACACGAGGCTGAAATCAGGTGTAATATCTGAGCAGTAGTGGGGAGCGCCGGATCGTTTTTAGAACACCTCATGTATAAGCAAACGATTACAGGTAATTATCATCTAGGATCGGTAGTAGCCGTATGTGTAGCGAAATTAAGGCAAATTGGACATCAGTGTGACCGCAGATATCTTTCCACCACCGATTTTGTCCTGATTTCAGGGTGGTGTGTAGACCTAGTTATATCACGAGGGATGTATGATATAATTAATTACTAAATAAAATTATTATAGACAAATGTTTTCAAAAATAAATCGTTTTAAAAAAGAAATATTTGTTGAGGCTTTTGGGTAATATACATACAAAAAGCACTATTGTTTTTAAACGGTTTGTTGTTATTGTTTTTAATACAAAGAAAACAATATTTTAATATTTTTGAACGATGCATGCAAGATAAATTTATAAGTAATTTAATGAGGAAATGTAGGTATAGGTAGGTAGGTATTGTTTAGGTATACTATTACATAAATATTGTTGGAAGGTAAGACTGGTACACAGTAGAAAACTTTCACTAACGTGTGATCGTGTGTTTTATGATTTGTAATATTTCACACATTACAAATCATAGGAATAGTGAGAATAGAGTTGAGATGTATAAAATAAATGTTTCTAAAGAAAAAAGTGAAGTATTCGTTACAATTTTTTAATAGGTTATGGGCCCAGGTAATATGTAAAATAGCATATTAAACGTAACATTGACACAGGATAATTTAGGTAGTAGAATAAGTCGATTTTTATACAAAAGTTAAGAGAACAGATATATTTCAAAATTTATTATCAAGTAGTAAGTAGATTGAATTAATCACTACAGCTCAAGCACGGAATATTCAGCGGTCATGTAGCTACTGTATATATACATATATACTGTAATGTTACCATCAATTGGATAAGTGATAAACATTAGTAGCTTTGTCTCTGCTGCTATAACTACGTAGTCTCCCAAATTCACAAAGTATAAGTCCATTTTT